TAGATAAACAGTTATATGAAAGAAGTCAGAGAGTTATCAATTAAGTTATTATCATTATTTTTACTGTTAATTAACTAGGTTTGTTAAAGTATAAATTTTGTAAAATTTTTAATAATTGCCTTAAAGAGAATTTAAGATATTAGTTTTAATATACAACTTTTAGTCACGTGATTAAGCTTGACCGGTACAGCGTTGCCAACTCATATAACAGATGTTATTTACATCAACAAAACTCGCATTCTTAACAGCACTTAAGGAACATAAGGGCCATTACTACCTCTTTCCCCTTCAAAATAAAGATGCGATTTTTTTACGGCTATTAAGCTATCTTGTAAACTTCGCACTAAAAGAAGTTCTAAAAAGAACAATGTTCGACTGCAATGTCTGTTGGTCAACATTTTTAAGCTTAAGGTATCACTATTTGTTTAAACCAAAAACTCGTAATACAAGACTAAAGTTTCAAAACGAATGACAATGTCAGGAAATAAATAAATAAATGTGGCAACTTGACATTTTTTACAGCAGAGCTACCACCTGGATCCCCAAAGGGAAGTTTTAAATCTCAGTTAGTCACCCCGGCGCCGAATATGTCCATGATTGGTAACCAATGAATTGGAAAACCGCGCCCTTGATTACGTAACTAAAAGTTTAATTGGTATCAAATGTATATTCTTGTCTTATGGTCTTCAGCGTCAAATAAAAAAAAGGTATGTTTTATGTTCTATAATTTACTTTCCAAATACCATTTGCGTTCTGATTTCTCATAACTTAAAAAACTGTGAAACTCACTTAATTTTTTTTTAATAAATTAAAAAATCGATAAATTTAGCATATCTTCTGGGTTTACGAAATTCTAGTATAAGATCTATAGTACGTTTTTATGAAGGAAAGGGTGTATGTTGTCACTCAACTACATCCAAAAATAACTTTTTTTGGCCTATAAAATCGTTAAGAATGCAAAATAAAGGATCTTATTGATTGAACAGCTCAAGTCCACGATGGACTTGAGCTGGAGCTGGACTTGAGCCATGGACATAATAGGTACATCGAATATCGCTAGAGAATCGCAAGGAATTAAAGATGCGGACGACAAAAGGTGTGACCAATCAGATCTAACAATCCGATGAGCAGTGAACGAAGCGATCAGGCGACGCGGTTGAATAAAGCTTGATTTTCATGCATCCGTTGTCCGACGGTACGATGATACGATATTAATTTTATTGGTTGAATTCAGATGCTTCGATTGGTTAACCGTTTCTAACCAATCAAAGTCTTTCAATTCTACCAATAAAATTAATATCGTATCAACGTATCGTCGGACAACGGATGCATGAAAATCAAGCTTAAGTCTGATGAAAGATAACAATAGGCATGGAACGAACTGGCAAGTTTCGTATATTTATCATACTGCGTTTGAGAGTTTTACTTAGAAAGTAATAGTAATATGATAGTAACAATAATATGACACAAACCGTTTATATAGAATTATTAATGAAAGAATAGTAAAATTTAAATAAGTTTTTTTTCAGCATCTTTATGCACGTGTATGTCTTTTATTTGAATTCCTTCAAGTTTAGTGTTTTTCTGTTAGTTCCAATGAGTCTGGAGTCTTCTGTTACTCCAAGTTTGCTTTATTATAAATCCATTTACCGTTTAATATGTTCGGCACAAGTGTCCACTAAACAGACACTTCTAAGTTGGAATTAATTTAGGAAAAAGGGACTAATTTAGTATCGGATCCGTATTAAATTCTCGTCGGGAGAATCTCTCCGACCGCAACAGTTTGATCTTGGCTAATTTCGCAAAGTTGCAAACTCGACTCTCCAGACGGCTGCGGCGGGTTAACTTAATGTCAACCTAAGGTAACATTTCCCCGTAGTAAGATAGAGGGGTGGTGGTCTTCTAATAGCGACCCCTTTCGCTTCTAATGACGATATCGAGCGAAACAGCTGTGTCGTCTTATTTATACGACCCAAGCTTGCGGCTTGAAACCAAACAACAGCAAACGTGGAGTTTATAGGAGTTGGACAACATGCTGCGTTTTACCATTTTTAACTTTTATATTTACGTTATTCTACAGGGTGTTTCAAAAAACATGTGCTATCTCTCGTGAGGAGATTTTTCACGTAAAAAATAAGATTTATTTGTTATATCACCTTAGGTCTGATTCCGCTTATTTTACTCGAACTTTAAAATAACTCGATTAAATTTTTTCAATTTTATACAGTTTTTTCACAATATTTTGAACTAATCACTTGTCACTCAAATTTTAAAATATATTAATTTTCTGCTATGCGTTCCAATTGTACGAACTTATTTCCATCTTATGTCTTTGTAAAATAAAATAAACTACTTTGAAAATAAAATGACAGACACATCTCTCACTATAAGGATCTTGTAGTTAGACAGACCTGACCGAAACGTTGTGTAAGCAAAATAAATAAAGACAATGGAAATCCGAAATTATTTTAGCTTTGTTACCATTACCGTGGATCACCCTGTATACGCCTGCACAGTTGCACAGGTGGCCAAATCTACAAACGCGACCGCTTCAAATATTTTCTCCGCTCCTAATACCTGGCAGGAGTAGCCTTTACCCACCATGGTTCCACCGCTACGCTGTCCTCCTAATGGATTGTTTGGTAATTGGATTGGACGGTAGTTTGGACCGCGGCCGACAGAGGGAGACTTCCCAAATAAGCGCGGGAGCTCGTATATATTTAATCTGGAACGGACCCAACTCAGACACCGGTGAAATATGGGCTAAGGGAAGGTGTAATGAGGTACTTAAACGAGATATTTATGTGTTTTGTTTGGGGATAAGCGAAAATAAGAGAGTTGTTGTGGAGAGTAAGTGTTTTAGACCTTTGAATAAAAACATTCGAGGAAGGAGTATAATGTTATCCATGTTTTCATGCATTAGAGACGGACGTTTAACGTTTCAATAATTAACACATTTGAGTAATCTATACTAATATATAAAATCTTTAAGTGACTGACTCACTGATTAATCGCGATCCTGCTCAAACCACTCAACGTAAGAAGCCCCGTTTTGGCATACAAGTTGATTCTAAGATGTAGAGGTTCGATAAGAACTAATAAGACGGGATTTTTCGAAATTCCAGTTCCAAGGGGGTGAAACCACCCCTCAAATATTACAATATGTTTTATTTAAAAAACGGTCGAGTTTCCGAAAAAACGCTTAAACACGTATATTTTATTTTGTTTTTTTACATATTTTAAGATTTTTTGAAAATGTATACAGCGTGTTTCGAAAAATCTGGTCATTGATTAATTCCAATCCTGCTTAAAGCGCTTGACGTAAAAAGCTGATTTTTGGCAAACGGATTGACTGTGGGGTTGAGGTTCGATAAGGAGGGGTTTCTCTTGAGTAATCACGATTCTGCTTAAACTGCTCGACGTTTAAAGCTGATTTTTGGCAAACGGATTGACTGTGGGGTGTAGAGGTTCGATAAGGAGCGGTTTCTCGAATCTCAAATTCCAAGAGGGTGAAAACGCCCCTCAAATATTACAATATTTGTTACTCAAAAACGGTTAGTCTTCCGGGAAAACGCTTGGACACGCATAATTTATTTTGTTTTTTTTTTTACATAATTTGAAATTTTTAAAAAATCAAACAGGGTGTTCCAAAAAGTTCGGTAATTGATTAACCACGATTCTGCTCCAGTTTGTATGTTAATGGAAATTCTTGCTTTGCTTTATCATCACCATTACAAATGATTAATTCGACGCGAACGAAGTCGCGGGTACACGCTAGTTTTACATATAAAATGACAGCAATCTTCATTTCATATACATCGCTGACGCCGTTTTTTTTCGATTATACGGTATATTAGGCATTTACTTTAGATGGTCTGTACTTACTTTACCATAAATATCGTAATCTTAAATAATACAGGGTGTTCAAAATTCTACGCCAAACTTGGTTGGCGAAACAAAAAATGTTGCTCACCCCAATAACTTTTTTTATTTTTTCAGATAAAAAAACGAAATTTGGTATGTTAGTATATGACATAACTTAGGATTGACTGATACATTCAATTGATTTTGGTCACTTCCTGTTTCACCGGAAATGACTACAACTTTTGATTTTTAAACGGCACCCTCGGTATTTTTTTACTTCAATTCAATAGAAAACGTCACTCTGAATAGAATGACATATGATATGTCAACTTTTTCAATCTAGCTTGCCATGGCTGTATTAAAAACACTAGTTTTTAATCAAAGAGCCTTGGAAAAATAGATATGTTCATCTAATATTTTTCGTGTCTTGTCCTGGCCGGTTAGAAGATGACCAAATGGTATTTTTAATCATATCTCAATTTTTTTCAAATGAAACGATGGTGGCTCATTAGCATATTTGGAAAAAGCATTTTCTACGAATAATTTGGTACCACACACCGTATTTTTTTTGTATTTCGAGTCAAATTGTTGTTATGAACCGCATGTTACAATTTCAAATATACCATATGAGAAAATGTCAAAAGTTGACATATAATATGTCATTATATCCAGAGTATCATTTTCTATCGAATTAAGTAAAAAAATACCGAGGGTGCCACTTAAAAATCAAAAATTGTACCTAGTCATTTCAGGTGAAACAGGAGGTGACGAAAAACAATTGAATACATCAATCAAGCTAATTTATGTCATATACTAACATACCAAATCTCGTTTTTTTTTATCTATAAAAATAAAATAATTATAGGGGTGAGCCACTTTTGAGACGCACCCGGTATACTGTCTGGTTGGCACCGTATATTCTATACACCCGGTATACTGTTTATTCTAATTTATGTCATGTCAAATCTCCACATACTCCAATGTCTTGTTATCAAATAACAGAAAACGTTTGTAACGCTCGATAGATGCAAGCTCTACGTCAGGAAGGAATACCGAACGGTAAATTAAATCCGGTAATAGACGGCTATGACGCGGTCGCCATGACGATCCGCCGGCCGCTACAAACAAAACAAATACTAATCAAGAAGCGGCCGCAACGCAGGGCCCACAAATATTTGACGTCTATTTCGTAAACAGCTTTGGCTTAGCGATGAAGTTTAAAGTGACACTCAGTCAGAAACTGGACCAGAACGTTCCAGTCACTTGCGTCGGCTGGAGCAACACAGAAGAGGTTTACTCGATTAGGTAAAGTTAATTAGAAATTAGGGAAGACCGAGCAGCGCGAATTAGTCGCTGTTTTAACATTCAACAAGTGACGTACATTGTAAGATAGAGTATACAAAGTTAGTAAAATAATCCTTTATTATTCTCCATACACGACGCATGATACAAAGAATACGTGTACAAGAGGTACATTTTTTATATACAGTGACGTAGAATCTACATCACTGGGTATACAAGGTGTTTCAAAAAACATGTGCCATCTCTCGGTGGGGAGATTCTTCACGTAAAAATAAAATTTATTTTTCATATCAACTTAGGTCCGATTCTGCCTTGTTTCGTAGCTACAGGGTGTTAAAATCTTAATAATTTTTTTTTAAAATAACATCTTAAAAAATAATATTCTTATAATAATATATATTTTACAGTGATGATTCTCAAATACTTTCGTGGTCCGTATCCAACAATCAGCCGACCAAAATAGCCCAACTAGACAAAGATCTATATGCAACCGACATCCAGTTTTTACCAAGGGTTGGAACAACACTAGGCAAACACGGTGATTTAATTTTAGTGACTTCTGCAGATGGGAAGTAAGATACTCGATATAAGTTGTTTAATATAAAGAGAGAAATTCATATTTTTTTAGGTTCCATATAATAAATAAGACTGGCAGAATAGAAAGAAGCGTGGATGCCCATAAAGGGGCTATTCTAGTTGGACAATGGGGTAATGATGGCACTGGTTTATTGACAGGTAAATAAATGTATATTATTTATAATTATCGCACTCTTTAATGGGGGGGGGGGGCATTATAAGATTTAAAAAATTTAACAGTTGTATCAACAAATATTTTAGAACTATCTAGGGTTACTTATTTCTCTGAAGTCTTTTCAGTATGTCCATGGATTCTCTTTACAAGGGGAAAAACTGTTTTATTACTGACATTTTGAGAACAATTTATTCTTCATAAAAATTTTTGCTTGTTCTAAAATGGTTAATATCGTTTATACTATTCCAAATTTCCATACTGTTTTAGAGAAAATTAAAAAAAAAACATGAAATTATGTTTGAAGTTTTTGAAGATCAAAAGTCGTTTCTGTTGTAATATAATTTAGATTTCATTCTTTGATAAATGTTTATTATCTTTGGTTATTACTAATTTTGATTAATGTCATATTTTTTGCTGTTAATAAGGTATCAAATTTTCCGATAACTATTATCACCCTTACCGTAGTATTGAACTAAATAAATTTTGTGCTTCTTTAACATTATATAACAGCAAAAAATATGACGTCAATTAAAATGCAATTAATATAAATCTATCAAAGAATAAAAACGAAATTATATTACTATAGCAACACGTTTTGATTTTTAGAACTCATTATTTTTTTTAATATTCACTAAACCCGTATGGAAATTTGGAAAAGTATAAACGGGATTAAAAAAATTCAAAACGAGTAAAAAATTTTATTTAATTTTTTATCTCTTCCCTAAAATCAATCTTCCCTAAAATCACCGACGAAGAAATAACATAATCCTGACCTAAACCTCATCGTTGTCTCCACACCAACCCCATCGTCGCGTTTCCAATCCTCTTAGAAAATAATTCCACCCTAATTTTAACGTTTCCACTCCCAAACTTCAACCGCCGCTACAGCGCTCATTTAAGACAGAAGATTTCGGGTTCTGCAATCCCGTCTTTCTAAAAGCAATTTCCTGTCATGTTTTAATGCACCATAAAAGCTGCCCGCCGACATTTCAAGTCGTGCACTCACACAGAGCAAGTGACTAATGAAATCAATTTAGGTTTTAGTTAATAACTGTGTTGAGCATTTCGGGAGTTACGGTTACGGCTGGTCAAATATTGTAAATTGTGTGTTTCTTGAGTTATAACTCATCATACAGTCTCCGGGCTTTGACAAAAACCATTAACTGAGACGGTTTTACAGAGGTTAGTTCTCCGTCTCCGATATCAGTCGTACTAAAATTTATGGTATGAAAGGATGTCGTCTCGGTGCACTCAGTGATGAGATGTCCTGGTTTCCGCATTTTCCCCACAGAATCTCCATTCGCCATTGTTTTTTGGTTTCAATCTGCTGAGATGACCATTAAGGATGCACTGTCCTGTCAAAAACCCCGTGACAATCCGAAGATTGTTTTTATTTAAATCAAGGAAGGTCTTTGATTTTTCAAGGTAGTAAGTCCTGAGAAATGTCTTCGAGTGTCTTAGACCGTTGGAAGATTGACCGTTGGAATTCCAGGTAACAGATGGAGTCTTCAAGGTTCTTTAGTTCCGCTTTAAGTTGGTTTCCACTGGTACAGTTAGTGGAGTATTACATATAATTACATATAACCCCACTTCTATAGTCCGGGGAATTCCTTATTATATTTCTTTTATTTTTTATAAGAAATAAAAACCTTTTTCAAACTTGACAAAACCATAAATTCGTAGTTATATGAGAATCTTGAAATTCAAACAAAAAAAAGGTTATATCCTTGCTAAATAATTTAATAATGGGTTTAACTTGCATTTTAAGACGGTCCTACACGATGTGGCAAACACCTTCCAACGTTGGACACACGGACATTCGCCACATCGTGTGGGAGACACATTTGCCAAATAGGTGTATTCTATGACATTGGCGAAAACTGTGTCGAATGTTGCTTCCAACGTTGGAACCAACGTTGGACGCATCGTATAGGACCGGCTTTGTGAACATAGTTTTACAAATTTTAATATGAGATTCCGCTTGTAACAGTATTTTTAATGATGGCAGTATTTTTAAGAAAATGACTCATTATTATTCCTTGAGCACACTTTGCGAATGCTAAATATCTTCACTGATAGAGATGACATTTAGAGATATACCGTATGATCAAAATAAAACGACGTCCAGTTGGCATGGAAATGACGATCGATAACATTCCCAATATAATTTTACATATAAAATGGCATCGCAGACGCCGTTATTTTTTCGATCATATTCTATTTTAACGAATGTTATTGAATTTGTAAAGAATAGAAATACTCATATATCTGCCCAAATGAAATAAATGTCAAAATTATGTTTTTTTTTAAACGTCACAAAAGTATTAATTTTTGCGATGTGATTGACAATGTAAAAAAGTCATTTCAACGCCTAGACATAAAAGTAAAGCACTTTTACGCCTAAGCATAAAAGTACGAAAATATATTATTAAACTGACATAAAGTGTCAAATTCAACGAGCGTAACCATAGTTTCTCGATATACCGTATGATTGAAAAAAACGGCGTCTATTTGGCTGGGAAATGACGGTCGATGACATTTCCCATATAAATTTACATATAAATGACAGCGATCTTCATTTCAAAGCCATCGCTGACGCCGTTTTTTTCTCGATCATACGGTATAATTATATACAAAGTATGACTTTTAAATATTTTTATATTATTTGGAACGTTTGAAATTGTATAAAAAACTATTTGTGGCGTTTGAAAAAAATAGCATGTTCTATTCGGAGTAAAAATGATCATTTAATTAATGGTCATTTTTGCTTCTAATAAAACAATATACGAGTACTATTTTATTAGGTGGCGAGGACGGTTTTATCAAAATCTGGTCCAGAAGTGGCATGTTAAGGTCTACAGTAGTGAGCAGCGACAACTCAATTTATGGAGCCTGTTGGTCTCCAGATAGTCAGAGCATAGCGTATACTCAAGGCAAATGCGTAATCGTCAAACAACTAGCTCCTAATACCAAGCCATTAAAGGTATGCAAACAGTCATGTACACATCTCAAAATAAGGAAAAGCAAGAAATTGTATGACCTAGTTGGCTTGGACTTATAAAAAATTCTAATATTATTTCTCCTAAGAATTGTTTATCTGTCAAAATATCAAACACACTTGATCATAAAAATGTTTGATCACATTGTATTAATTTCAGTGGAAGGCACACGAAGGTGTTGTACTCTGTTTAGCATGGAGTGCAGCTTCAGATATAATAGTGTCTGGAGGTGAGGACTGTAAATACAGGGTTTGGGATGGTCAAGGACGTCCAATGTTCTCCAGTGTCCACCACGACCATCATATAACGTCTATTTCTTGGACACCTTCGGGTGATCTTTTTGCTGTTGGGTCGTATAACACTTTAAGATTATGTGATTATTCGGGGGTAAATATCTGTATCTATTTTATTTAACACATTATTTATTGATAACTGGAAAAATAATTTTCAATAACAAACATGATTACTGATGAAAAGAGTAGTTGCCATGTTTATTAGCTAATTAAATTGGTGTTCTTGACTCTTGTAGTTGTTTTACACCAGATATGTATGTATGTTTGTTTTAGTGGTCTAGATCTCTGGAGAAACCCAACACTGGTAGTATTTATAAAATGTCATGGTCAAATGATGGCACTCAACTTGCAGGAGCATGTGCAAACGGGCATGTGTTCTTCGCCCATGTGATAGAAAGGCACTCTCATTACTTAAATTACACGTAAGAAATCTTATATATTTTAACTTTACTATATATTTGTATTATTTGCAGTCTTAACAGAACTAATACTAAATAATAATTTAATTTCTCAATCTGTTGAATTTTCAGAGCATCTCTAAGTGAAAGAAAAGTAGTGACAGTCAGAAATATCATGGACGATACCGTAGAATACTTGGAACTACCAGAACGCGTCATACAAATGGCAATGAGATACGATCATTTAGTAATAACAACCCCATCCCAGTGCTTCATCTACAGTACTAGCAACTGGAACACGCCCTTTATTTTCGACCTTAAAGATGGAGCTGTCAATCACTTGGAACTAACAGAAAAGTATTTTCTTAAAAACTTATTTCTATAAAACAGAATTTCTCAAAGTTTAGATATAACTCCACAACTGTTAGAATTAAAGGACCATTGAAAATCCATTTTAAAAATTCAAGCTACAGAAAAATATACAAAAAAGATACCCTCAAATTGATATGACAAAATACCTTATAAATTTATAAAACTCAACTACAAAAATACGAATTTTAAAATAACTGTAATTGTTAAATTAATATATAAATAATTGTTATTATATGAGAAACAAAGTCGAAGTAAAGAAGTCAATGTCTCTTTTTTGTATTTACCATAAACTTTTCAGGTATGATAAACACTTCGTTATAATTTGTCATATCATAACCTAACGCAGTATGATAAACACTTTATAACAAAGCTCACCCATCAATTTGCAAGGTCCACTTTGAAAACTCCTAAAACTGCTTTATTATTTACAGACATTTCTTAGTTATCGAAAAAAAGAGTATAGGAATCTACAACTATCAAGGCAAGCTAACCGGACAGCCACGTTGGCCAAATATGAGATTAGACTATCTCAGAGCAGTGCTCTTCTCATTTTCTAATGACACTCTAGCCGTAAGAGACGTAAACGATCAAAAATGTATGGAACCATTTAAAAAACTAATCAACAGACAATAATTACTAATTGTGTTTTAGCCATACACATTATAGATTTATCAAACAACAGGTATACAAATGAGTCGTCTGTATTAATCCAGCACAGTGCGCCTGTTATACAGATAGCTTTAGACCAGCAAGGACCGTCATCCTGTAGAACTCTAGCTGTATTGGACAAATCTCGTGACCTGTATATTGTGCAGGTTAGGACTACAAGTAGATCTTTCTCAAAATTAGGTAACTATTTTATTTGTCAGGGTATTTCGCTATCGATACTATTTAGTACACAACAAAACTGTTCCAAAAAGGCTTCATATCAGGTTTCTTCTATCGCATTCAGTTTTTAGTACCTATACTGGGTAATAGCGATACAACTATGTTATACACTTTTGCAGGAAAATAAATAAAATTCTAGAACACTTTATAATATACAGTATACAGGATGAATAAATACTAGATATTTGAAGAAATACTTGTTATTTTTCTCCGTTACGTCCAAAGGACTATAGTCTGTCCAACGGTATAATCCCTGACAGTGACAGTTGTGTCTGTCGTTTTAATTGACTGGCAAATTGTAATATCTTGCTGGTGACCAATGATGACTCATTGTTTGCCATCAAAAGAATGGCCTCTAAGGTCACAAATTCTGCTGCAGCCCGTATATGGGCGTTACATGTCCTTATATTCTTTAGTCATTGAGCAAATATTAAAAAGAAATGTTTTAAAATACGAGGTGTCATTGCCAGCATATGTCAGCTTTCGTCATAATATATTATTTAAGAATAGAGAAAAACTTCAAATAAATGCAACATGTATTTTTGTAAAAATATAATGTTTTTAGGAAGAAAAATCGATTCCTTCAAATGGAACTCCAACATAAATATTCTAGCCGCCATACAAGACGCCCAATTAATTGTTTGGTATTGTCCATCTGCCGCCTTCAATTCCAAGCTGCTGCACATGTGCTCCTTGCAATACGACTCGCCCGAACTGGGTAGAAATCCAAGAATAAACGACTTCGTAGGAAACTCCGTTTCGATTAGACGAGCTGATGGATCTTTGATCAGCGTGCCCATATCTCCATTTCCTGAACTAATTCACAAGTAAAACCGCGTGCGGAATATCTTATCGCTTAATAAAAGCTTAATTTTGTAGGAAAATACAAGATAACAAGTGGTCGGAGGCTCTGGACTTGTGCAGAAGCGTCAATAACGACATGGTGTGGGCTTGTCTGGCGGTGTTGGCCACCCAGTCTAGCTCGGAGACGATGGATATAGCAGAAGAGGCCTTTGCCAGTATTAATAATTATGAAAAAGTTATTTATATTCAATATATAAAGGTATTATTATTACGAATTAAATTACAGAAATCCGTTGCTATAGGCTTGGTGCATTCTCCGCCGGTGCTGCCACTATCGGAGAATATCATAAAAAAGTGATATATACACAGACACGGGTTTAAGTAGCGAGTATACGAAAAATTTATTATATAATTATTATTCTAAAAGTGTTAAGAAGTATAATTTGTAAAAATTCTAAAAAAAATAAAAAAGTAAATATCTTCAGAAACTTTTTAGATGAGTTCAACGGTAGCGAGCCTAGTTTTACGCACAGGTTTTTCTAGTGGGGACATAACATGGGCTATTTCGGCTATAACGAAATTTTTTGAAGGTACATAATTATAATTTTAGAAGATATTCATAAAAAATCTAAGCACTAGTTGATTAAAAAAAAAGTATACCATTAATATTGCCAAATTATATTTTATCCTCTCATAGTATATCTCTATTATTTAATTATTGATTATGTAATGGGCACTTTGTTTACTCACTTGTATCGTCGAACTGCTTGACTCCATAAAAATAGATTTTTATTTAGCAAAAGTTTTAGATCAAATCGGTGTTAGAAGCTGTGAAGCTATAAAATGTTGATTCGAGAGAGTTGAATATGGGAGTTATATAAGTTGAGTTATTGAATGTTATTGCACCCAACAACCACGTAATTACGCCCTCCTTTACGAGTTAACGGTTTTTCGGCAATTTTTTAACATTCGAAATTGTCGGAACACAACACAACGCCCACTTCGAGTTCTTCTTCACTTAATTTTTACTACCCGAAACAGCGTTACATCACACAAACCTCGTACCTGAGTGTTTTATAGTTTCAATAACTGCACTAGCAAAAAACTAAAATACTTAAATATTATGACAAAGCCACAATTTCAATATTATTTTAATGCGATCAACATGAACTGTAACCGGGACGGCGTGAAATACACAGTGAAAACTTCTGATTTCTGCCGTATAGAGCGCTGCGGTCGGAATTTTTTGAAATCAACTGGAATGCACCAAGCCTATAGGTAAATAAAAATAATTTCCCAATCACCTTCTTTTAGACGTTACCAAGTAAAGCTGAACAGAAAGCCCACATGGCTTTACTAGGTGGCAAATTGGAAGAAGCTGAATCAATCCTACTTCACAATGGCATGGTATTTCAAGCAATTTACATTAATATAAACATGCATAATTGGACCAGGTAACAATATTCCAGCATAAAAACCTCTTAATGTAAAAAAGATCTTTACAGAGCATTAGATTTAGCCACTAAACATAAAACACACGTCGATACAGTATTGTATCTTAGAGAAAAGTATTTGGAGACATTAGGAAAATCGGAAAATAACAATAAATACAGCAGCCTCAAAGAATCAGTAATTAAATTTTAAAATATATTAAAATAATTTAATAATGTATAATTTTAGGTGACTATTGATCCCGAGAAAATTAAAGAAAAAATTACTGCAGAAGAGAACAGAATACGACATTGATAAATATTGTCTTTTTATTAAATGTTTTGTTCTTAAATGTTATATTAATAAAGAATATTTATACTTAATATACAAATGTAGGAATGCAAAATACTTTAAATCCTATGATTATTGTTACATTTCATCATTTTTGTGCTGCATCTAAATACTGTTGGTACTGGCCTTTCCTTAGGGGATCCAATTTAATCAGCTCTTTATAATACACAGCTCTCTTATCTACATATTCACTATCGCTTAGAACCAAACTACCAGTAAGCCAACATTTGGCCAATAAGATCCCTAAAAAATGAAACAGCTATAAGAAATAACCATAGAAAGAATATTATAATTAGTAATAAAAGGAACTCATACATATTCTGATAAACTTACATTTACAATCAGGCTCTAATTCTTGCAATTGTTCTAACGCCTCAAGCAGTTCTTGCTTTTTATCTTTGGTAAGAGCTGGATTACTTAAAACCCATCTTAAATAAAACCAGGCACTGCTGTCTGCTGGATCTGTAAACACAGCACTTTGAACAAGTGATAATTCTCCCTCGACACTAGATTCATCCAATGTTCTCAGTTTACTTCTATAATGCCACGAAGAATAATTAGAAAAATTTACATTCAGTCTATCTTCTGAAAATTTCAACTCTGCAGACAAAGTTATACCTATTTTATTCACCAACAGTCTCCTATAATCCCAACAGTGAACTGAAAATATACAAAATATGAATATTTACATATAATATTCAGCACTAAATATATTACTTACAATTTCTGTCATCATAACTTAAGTATTTGTTGCATAGATTAAATTCTTTGTCCCAATTTGGTTTAGGATGTAACATTAAAACCCAGTATCGATGATGCCATGATCCGTAAGATTTTGGATTGGCTAGAAGGCACTGTTCTGTTAGTGATATTTCTGATTCAAGGAACTTTATAAACTTCTCTTCCCCTTCTGTTTCATCCTCACAGCTGAGAACATGTATAAGATGAACTTATTTATCTATATTAGCACTGATACTATACCTTTTGTCTTTCTCAATTAATATTGCTTCTTTTCTATAATTCCACAAAGTATAAATGTCTGGATTAACAAATAATAATTGAGACGCAATTGCAAACGACTCAGCATCATAAGAATCAGATTTTCGGGATGATAAGATCTTTTTCATGCCCATCCGATATGCTGTGAGCTTCTTTTGTTGCTCCCTTCGTTTTTCTTCCTTTTGTACTTCCGTTGATTTTACTTTCAATCTTCCGTGCTTAAAATAAATATATCTTTATTGAATTAATTACAATTTTCAGTTTATATTACCATTTTAGTATATTTTAGTATTATCTTCTAGTATTTAATTAACTTAAAAGTTTATTTTTGATTGTCATCTTACGATAACTTAACCTCAGATTTGATTTGTACATTTAAACTACACACATACTCATCTCTGATTTGAACCATTTGAACTACTTGCAATTTGAGAGATTTATTATCGGGTTCTAGCATATAAGAAAGGCAAAAAAAACATCTTAATATAAAAAAATATGAAAAGAAATCTTAATAATTTTATAGTTTATTAGATATTATTATATAAATTAAGAAAAAAACTCTTTAATTTTCCAAGAAAGATACAAAATCTGTTAGTTTATACAACTGATCCTCGCTACTAGGCTGAACTATTGGATCGGGTATTTTTCTAATTGGGTAAATCATTTTGGTTTCATGCTCCACACGCCAACCCCTTTCCGAACATGCTGCTGCACACACATCTGGTGGCAAGCCTGTCATTGCAGAAACTGTATCTAATGTTATTGAAGAATATGCCTGAGAAATCAAATCAACTGCTCTGGATCTCACAACATCTAAAGGTGATATACATAACAATAAGAAAAACAATATACAGCAATTGCATATATTCAATACCTTGAACATTTTTCATTATTTCTGATACTGTATCTGACCAACTCACTGCATTTAAAGATGTATATGTGGCTGTAAAGTCACTTTTCCATAAATGTTGTCCTACTGTCCATATACATCCTATTTCTGGATTACTGCTTTTAATACTCGAAGGAATTCTCTTCCACAAAAACTTGGCATTGCATCTAAAAGAATGGACATAACAATAAACCAAATATGTAACGTTTCTGGAATAATATGTCTTACAAATCATTTTGGTAAAGATAAAACGCTAATAATCTAGAGTAAACCTGCGGACTAGCAATTCCGGTAGGAGCCTAGAATAATTAATTGTTAAATAAAATCGACATAATACAGAACTTCAAAATACCTCTAGTTCTTGTCGCTCCAAATCTTCTACTATTTTATCAATATTGCTTGCAAACATTCTGTTTATTTCTCTATTTTAATGGAAAAATCGAAATACCGGACATTTACTTTTTTTAAACTTTTCTAAATACTTTTCATAATAATAAACAAACTTGTCACGTCAGGATGGTTTAAAAATAGTGCTCTGTGGATGTTTAATGATTATATGACTTTTAATTTATATATGATTTAAAGTAGGAATGGGGTTAAAAAACATTTATTTTAACAGGGAACAGGGATGTGTATAAAAAAGATCCAAAACAGTTTTTTACGTTGCTGTATTGTTGCACAAAAACGTATAAAACATGCGTACAGAAGTGTATTAAACATAAGGACGCACATTTCCTAAATTGTTGTTTGTTTTTTGTTGAATTTCAAAGTAAAAATCCGTCTATCTATAATGATTCCTTTAGTTTTCTCAAAATAATATAAATTTAATATAATGTTTAATAAAGAAGATATTAAAAAAATAGTTTTTATTTCTCGTTAAACAATCTAATAACTAAAAATAAAAAGGTTTTTTTGCTCTTAAATAGATTCATTTACATTGAGAAAAATTTGCAGCAATTCTAGGTAGTCTATTCTTCTTTGCCTTATGATGGTTATTTTGATGATTCTGAAATTAAATATGTTACAATAATAATAAAATTACAAAATTTAATTAACTTACCCCATTCTCTTTTTCGTTATTCTTGGCAGGTTTATCCGTGTTTTTAAGATGTTTTTGAGTTTTGGAAGATGCAGACACGCATACACTATTATCACCTTGAGTAGTTTCGCTAATACTTTTGCTACTCTGCCTTTTAATAACTTGCGTAGGAACGAAAGGATTGTGAAGGGCTGTTTTAAGAGCCTGATCGTTACGACGCCGTGATGATTTTGTTTCACTAGCGGTACTCTCTTGTTGTGGCTTAACCCAGGTTTTGGGCGGCACAGGAAGATTTTTATCTGGTCCATGTGATGCATCAGTTCCCTTAGCCTGAAAGAAAAAAAAACATTTTTCTGGGGGTATTCAAAAATATCTTCCAATTAAATTCTACATATTTCTTCAGTGTATAAGTGAGTTTAATTACTGGCAAAATACATGACTTCAAGATATAGTAAAATTAAGTGATAGAAGATACTAATAAGATAAATTCCTATATTAAGATGGCAGTGATATATGCTTGGTGCATTTCAGTTGATTTCAAAAAATTCCGATCGCAGCGCTGTATACGGCAGAAATTAGAAATTCTCGCTATGTATTTCAGGCCGTCCCGGTTACAGTTCATGTGGATCGCATTAAAATAGTATTGAAATCGTGGCTTTGTCATGATATTTAAGTATTTTAGTTTTTTTTTCTAGTGCAGTTATTGAAGCTATAAAACACTCAAGTACGAGGTTTGCGTGATGTAACGCTGTTTCGCGTAGTAAAAAATAAGTGAAAAAGAATCCGAACTAGGCATTGGTGTTGTGTTGCGACAATATAGCCGAAAAAATGTTAACGCGTAAAGGAAAGCCTAATTAGAGCGTTGTTGGGTACAATAACATTCAATAACTCAACTTTCCCAGATATATTATATTCAACTCTCCCGAAACAACATTTTATACCTCCCTAGTGTCTCACACCGATTTGAGCAAAAGCAAAAAGGGATTCAAGCAGTTCAACAAAACGAGTTAGTAAACAAAATGCTCGTTACATAATCAAAAATTGAAATAGACATATACTATGAGAGAATAAAATATAATTTGGCAATATTAATGGCATACTTTTTTTAATCAACTAGTTTAATGTTTTATGATCATCTTTTAAAATTATAATTATATACCTTTAAAAAATTTCGATATAGCCGAAATAGCCCCAATTGTGACCCCATTAGCAAAAGCGGTGCGTAAAATTGTGCTCGCTACCGTAGTTGAACTCATCTAAAAAGTTTTTTTAGCTGGAATAATAAATTATAATACCAGTTAGACCTTATTAGATATTTACTTTTTTATTTTTAGAATTTTGACAAATTATACTTCCTGACACTTTTAGAATAATTAAATAATCATTTTTTCGTATACTCGCTATTTGAACCCGTGTATTTGTATATATCAGTTATTTACGATATTCTGCGATAGTGGCAGCACCGGCGGAGAATGCACCAAGCGTATAGCGAAAGTTCTACATTTTAAGAAAGCCTCAAGAAATGTTAAGGCAGAAAATAATTAAAAAGAAAAGATAGATAAATATGGAATTTGTGAAAGCGCAAGTTCAGTTCAAACTCTTATTGCATATTAACTACCGTGACAATTTTTGAATCTCTATTGTCCCCTCTAAAGTGACTACTTTTTCAAACAAAATCCCACATGAGACGATTCTCTACAAGTACCTACATTTAAATAAAAACAACTTACCCTCTGAATCAGTATATGTAACACATCAGAAGCAACATTTTCAGTGGCTAATTCTTTATTCTGACCGGGCTTTCCCATCACAATCTCTCCATTAGACAAAGTGATTTGAGCTCTATACTGACCATCCGACTGGAAATACTGATACCTTGGAATTCCTAGGTTATTTGACTGATAATAAGTTAATAACCTGACACTAGAGGGAGCTTCGCAACTTTCTACAACCACAAATCATTCAATCAAACACCCGAAATTGTTTAATAATGTTCATTAACTTACAGCAGCCAACATTTCAAAAAGACAGATTCCCGCTATTATTACTATTATTATTAGATGATGTACTTTTAGGGGTTGAATCTTGAACTGGTTCAACTTGTTTAATTTTATTTTTAGGCGCATTCAGTTCCTTGTTTTCTGACATGCCTATTTTCAAAAGATTTTTCAGATATTCCGTATTTACAGTCCTTGGTGGCATACTTGGTAGAGAGACGGATTTTCAGTTTTGTCTTTAAAAAAAACTGTTATATTAAAAAAATCAAAATAAATCAAGTTAAATACCAAAACTTTCTTTGAAGTTGTTGGTTTTCTTCATCAGTCTTTTTTCCAACTTTTTATTTGCCTTGGTTGAAAACTGGATTCAACCTGCGTAGATGAGTTGTAAGGCAAAATTTGCTGCTGTTGGTTTTTTTTGGTATGGCGGTTCGTTGGCTTGATTATTAAAACTAGCAAACGCCGAACCTTGTAGATTATGCTCAGCTTGGCTGTAATTAGGTAAATATGATTTGTTTTGATTTAGACCCAGTTGATTATTTTGACTGAACTGATTGAAGAATCTCTGACTATTATTGTTGAGCAGAACAATAGATTGCTTTTGCCCAGATTCTGCTAATGCTACCCAAAGATCCTAAAATACAAGTATTTGGTTTCAAATATTTTAAAAAACCTAAAATAGTCTCAAATTAAAGTATTTTCTGTCCAGCCAGAGAATATGTCATTCCGAAAAACGACATTCAAAATAATTTTGAATTAAAATAACAGATTCTTTCGCTGGACAGACTATATTTTGAATGTATATAACCTTGTTTTCCTGTTTTCTCCTCCAGTAATCTTCTACCATAAGAAATGTTTATAAACGCAGTTTTGGGTAATCTATACCCTCTCTCCGCTGAACAGTTTAGAGTCATACCATCTTTAAACGTTTTGTCAAATACCACGTCGTACAAAACGTCCATATCGTTGTTGGTTAATGACTCGGTTTTAGCTATGACCGTGCCTTTAAGGCCAAACGGTACACTAAAACCTTTCCTGGTATTTATTATTCTGTCAAGTATTTCTACTGTCATTTTATCGTCAGGTGCCAAAGTTTTACTTTGTATCTCGGGCTGAAATAGAAAATACAAGAAACAGCGCTTAGATGCGAAAAGTCATTAATTATTTTTCAACTATAGTTCGTCCAGCATGAGATTTTTTTATTGATTTTGGGCGACAAAACATCCAAAAAATAATACGCTGCTGAATTAAAATGACAACAACTGTCATTGTCATACATTCAATGGATGGACAGTCTATAGTTTGACCGTAACTAATAAATTTATAGAATTATATAGTTTCCACAGAATTATTAAAACTATAATTTTATGGCCCTGGTCACTTTATTTCCGTGTATTTTCTGTATTTTTATGCATACGACAGAGCTAGATATACCGATTTGGTCATTTTAGAAGTGTGGTCTGGATTTTAAGGTGTAAGATAGTGATGTATCAAAAAGAGATAAAAGTTGGGTTAAATTCAAACCACACAAGTAAGCGTTTATGGAACACGTAACATCTAGGGTTGGAACCTTATTTTTCAATTAGTTACCCATTTTACTATAAATGTAATAGATTATATTTATCTATCTTTATTTCAATAGTATATATAAAAAAAATTAAAATAGTTTTTTTTTACACAAATTTTCCTACAAACGTAAATACCGGCAACACTGTATACCGCTTTTGATTTTGTCTCTCTCTCTCTGTTAACTGGTTATTTATATTATTCTCTGTCGTACACGTTAAAATCCAGACCACACTTCTAAAATGACTAAATCGGTATACGACCAGTTGATAGACAAAGACAAAATAAAAAGCGGCATACAGTGTTGTCGGTTCGTACGTGAAATAACATAATAAACGAAGATAATATATCTAAGTTATTTACTAATGCTCAGCAGTTGCATGAAAACATGAAATAAATCTGCAATCACCCCTTACAAATACCATAGAAATAAATATTCATTGGTTTGTTCAGATTAGTTCAGAATCGTATTTTATAGTGTAAAGCTTCGTTCTAAAACTACGCAATATCAGGGGCTACACGCCATAGATCTAATAAAATTTGTACTAAATTCAAACAGCTGTCAATTTTGACTTTACTTACTAAACTAACAACTTTGTTTTCGTAGATTCCCCAGCAACACATCGTAGTTCTCAGACCGAGGCTTAATAAGAATCAATTTACAGCTGTTGTAAAATGAGTAACTAACTGTGGAAATTAAAGATCCAACCCTAGATGCAACATTTTTCGTAGGGTTGGATCTTTAATTTCCACAGTTAGTTACTCATTTTACAACAGCTGTAAATTGATTCTTATTAGATGCAACATTTTTCGTAAAAACTCTGGACCAGGGAAAAGCACAATGTCCACTGGAGAAACAGACAGGCGCACAGGCACAGCAAGGCTTTTATCCAAGGACCTAGATCTAAAACCGCAAAAGAACTGCTAATGCTTACAACAGGACACATGGCTGTCAAGTGTTACCTGAACAAGCTCAACCTGTATCAAGGAAGTCTTTGCTGCAGACTCTGCGATAAAGATCCCGAAACAGCGGAGCACATAATATGTCATTGCGAGGCTCTGGATCGCAAGCGACACTTTTTATTTGGGAAAGCTAGGCTAGAACCGGAAGAACTATGCTCCCCCATCCTATCAAGGACCTGCATAAGCTAGTGCAGGGCACAGGGATAGGAGAATGGGTGCAGATATAGAAGGGGGATAAACACAATAGACCTCACAGGTCGCAGTGTTTCCGGCAGAAGACGGCCCCTTGTTATGAAAAAAAACACATTTTCCTAAACGCTTACTGGGGCGGTATAAAATTTTGATACAAAATCCGGAAACACCGCATAGAAGAAATGTATCAACCCAACTTTTTTCAATGTCTTAATCTTTAAAATCCAGACCACGCTCCTACAGTGACCAAGTCAAAAATTAACAACCTATATCAGTTATGAAATAAAAATAGTGTAAGGTACATACATAATAAATTCAATAAAATTTTACCTTATAAAGAAGCGAAGGTTTGACCTGCATTGTAATTTTCTTAGACTGAGCAATCTTTAAAAATTCATCTACAGTAGATTCTATTTTTTGCACAATATCCTGCTCTATATAGTTGCTACCACACGTTTGCTTTTCCGAATTAAATGTGGGCAAACTTTTTAGCCAGGTCTGCAACTCGCTCATTTTTTTCTCGCTAAAACAAGAACTGTTGATGTCGTTCATTTCCATTGGTTTAATGATATTTAATACCAGATATCTTCGGAAAATATATCCTTTGCGGCGATTTCATGTTTATTTACGTTTTGACAAAAAAAGCAAAAAACCTCTGGAAACTTTTCGGTATATTGTCTTACTAAATCGAGACATTTGTCCGAGTAGTACCACGTAGTACCCACTCTTTTCGTGTAACCTGGAGTTTCCTTGTTTCTCTTGTTAAGTTTAAGATCTAGCCCAATATTAACATCTTTCGACGATCCTTTTACAGACACGAATATTGATCCTGTGGTTCTTGAAAACAAAATGTGACTCATTCCTGAAATATACGTCATAAAATCAGTATTACATAAATTAGAAGACCTAAACCCTTAATTCTAAGCCCTTTCGACTGTCAAAATTATTCGTGAGCCAATGAGTGAAAAAATATGAGATTATTATGAAGAAATGCTTCAAAAATAGTCACTTGTGCAGTGTGCAATAACTTCCAGACTAACAACATAAAAAAAGTAAGTACGCCACTGGTATAACAACCAAAAAACCTGTCCAAACCAAGATAACACATAAAAAGTTGTATAGTGTTTTTTTTTTGACAAGTTGTCAGACAATTGAGATACGAGGTAACTTAAAACTGCAATATTTTAGTTAGTTTTTGCAAAAAAAAATAGAATCAAGACCCTGCCCTAAGAATAAATAAAAAAATAACCTAGTTGGCTAGAAACCACATGCAATGGCTTGTAGGCTCTGGCACTTTCAGCGTATTTGCGTCTTATATGTTCAAAGTCTGGCTCTTCTGTAACAGATATGCAGACTTTTATCCTTCCTCTGGCGATGATTTCACGACTGTCCAGTACCTGAAAATTGATTTCAGAATATGTAAAAATAATCATTATATCAAATTTAATACTAGGTAGAATTAAGCTTGATTTTAATGCGTCCATTATCCATTGATACGATGGTCCGACGGCGCTCTGATTCATAGCATTTTCGCGCCTTTTTTTTCATCTGTAAATTTTTTACTCCATCCCTTCAACGGAAAGAGACCGTACGATAACGGACGTTTTGACACTTTTTTAACAAATTTAATCTAACCTTAATAAAAATATAATAATACAAGAGCTAGTAGCAACATCAGGAAAACGAGAATTTTAAGAAAGCTGTGGTGGAACTCTGTAACTAAATAGCGATCGGTAGCGATAAAGAATACTGACCTTGGTCGTACAAACTAAACGGCAAGCGACAGTATTCTTCATCGCTACCGATCGCTATTTAGTTACAGAGTTCCACCCCTGGTTCCTCAAGATATATTTTGCTATGCTCTCCTGGGCTGTCTAGCTGCCGGTAGACTACTGCGGTTCACTACTGCGCATCACATCTGACAGGGTATCCCATTTTCGTCTGTTTATGGGATTTCTCGTTTATAAGTAGATAATGATGCAATTGTCACATTGCTTTGCTACTTTTTTATGAAACTAAATATGCTACACGTAGGTTTGTTCTAGCCTCCTTAGTTCCTAAAATACAGGGCGAATTTGTGATGCGCAGTAGTGAACAAATGTTGAATACAGATATGATGTATGATGCGCAGTAGTGAACGCAACGTCTACCGGCAGCCAGACGGTCCGCACTCTCTTCAGGAGAGCATAGCAAAGGATATATTAAAGAACCAGCTTTCTTAAAATTCTCTCTCAAAAACGTTGCTAGCTCTTTAGTAAAGACTATAAGCACAGAATATCTAGCTACGCAACAGAAGCCTCGTTACATGTATAAAATTGTAGGTAGCAAAAGGAGACAGGCTTTAAAAGTCTGTCTCCAAATCAGATATTTTGATGTGGTAGTTTCGCTACTACATAATAGAGGGCAATAAATTTAAAAGAAAACAGTTTTCTACAAACAAAATTTAAAAGAATTTTCTGCAGTGTTGCCATTGTGTAATTCATATCGTAATACTTCCTGATAAAGCCTACCTTCAAATTTGCTACATTATTTAAACATATTAAAATAGATCAGACCTGTTTTTTTCAGTTTACCATGTTAGTTGGAATTAAATCTTATGAGCTAAATTACAATCACTTCCTGACGTTTGATTGTATAATTGAATCCTGAATTTTCATTGTAATTCGGCGACAATATAATAAGTATTGTTCTACTATTATGATACCACTTCCTGACGTTCGATTGTGTTCATACCATAGATAAAAGAAAATAATCTGGTTCATACCAAGTTCATATTGTATAATCGGGAAAAAACGGCGTTAGCGATAGCTATGAAATGAATAGCACTGCCATTTTATATGTAAATTTATATGGGATATGTCATCGATCGTCCTTTTCCAGCCAACTGGACGCCGTTTTTTTCAGAAGCATATCAAGTGATACCATAATATAGTACTATATTACGATACATGGCGTTCGATTGGGCTTAAACTTGGTATACTATATCTTCAGTGACATTGTAATATCGTGGTACCATGGAGCATATAAAGTGGTACCTTCTATAGTACCATATTTGATGACATAGCAATATTAGGTACATGGCGGCAATAGGGCTTAAACTTCGTATACTACGGATCTTCGCTGATATTGTAATATTATGGTACCTTAAAGTATATCGAGCGGTGTACATAATATAGTACACTATTATGATATCATTTCCTGGAGTTCGATTGGGCCCAAATTTGGTATATTTGCGTTTCTTTATAAAGATTTGTTTAATTAATAATTTTAATTTATTTTACGAATTTTAATTTATTGTTCGATGTCGTGACGGCAACTTTTATGTTGAACTAATATATTATTAATTGTACCTGTGTCACTTTTTAAAATCTACCTAGGTCTATATAAATAACGTGGCAAACGGAAGAAATTTGTTATTATAGTATTTTTTAGTCAGTTAACATTTTTTGTACTGCATTTTAATAAATTATTTCCATTATTATTAAACTTATATTTCATTACTAACGTTCCAGCATTAATAAATATCACTATCAATCGCCCTGTATATTATTAATTTTTAAGGTAATTAAAGGTATTTTCTTAGTTAACATTATAAGGTAGTGTATATTAAAAATGTATATGTTTTGTAATAATATACTTAAAACTATTTTAATAGCCAAAGGAATAATTAATATAAGTGTATCTGACAAGAAAAGAAGAATATAAAGAAACACATACTGGCATTATACACAGTAAAAAGAATGGGATGCCAATTCAAGTCTTTTTGAATCTGGCACTGTGCATATTTAGCCGAGCTATAAGGCCGTCGACGAGCCGTCGATCCAAAACCGAAAGTTCAAAATTTCTAATTATATTCTGATTATGATATTGTCGCGCCATCTAGTATTCTATTTGTGCAATTTTAGCTCTTTCATTTCGAGTATTTTTCTGTTGCGTAGCTAGATATTCTGTGCTATAAGTAAAACACCAAAATCGTTATGAAAATGAAAATATAAAATAACACCAATGACAAATGCAATAAATTTAAAATGCATGAAAATGCAAAAAATTTAAAGACTGCATAATTTCCTAACCAATCGAAGTCTTTAAATTCAACCAATAAAATTAAAATCGTATCGTCGGACAACCGATGCATAAAAATCGAATTTTATCAGTAGATTTTTTGAACTGACGACATGGACAGTCCTCAAGACCTGTCGTTCGTCATAATCCTGTAACAAGTGAGTAGACTTACGATTCCTTGAGACCCATAATATGGATTACACAACGTGAAACAAATGGACCCTTCCGAAAAAACGTCCAGGACATCTCTAAACGTCGAATGGTGTTGATCAAAAACACTTATTTCCGATACCACCGTTTGCAACGGATATACCGCAGTGTTTTCAGAAAATTGTTTCTCCAAAGTCAAACGGCCGCTAGGGGAAAACACGTATTTGCGACCGATCATTACTTGTACGTGGCACACAATTTGTACATCTCCTACTTCAACACCCAAATTGTTCTTGTACCTTAAAAATTCAAATTACTACCAATAGAAATGCTTCTATTATTAAACGTATTTATTACCTGTCAACTATACCACCATATAGTGTCTCGAAGTAATTCTTTTTGTCGTACTCTTCGGTATTGTACTGATTCTGGCCTCCCATACTAATATATTTTCGTTTGGCGTTTGATATGGCAACAACCCTAAAATACATCGCTTTCAACATTGATGAGTGAGCAAATATAATAATATATCAATCAATACACGGTAAAAGAAATATATTCGATACCAATTAAACTTTTAGTTACGCAATCCAGGGGCGATTTTTAAATTCATTGTTGCCAACGATGGACATATTCGGCGCCGGGCTGACTAACTGTAATTTAAATTTCCCGCTGGGGATTCAGGTGGTAGCTCTGCTGTAGAAAATGTCAAGTTGCCACATTTATATATTTATTTCCTGACACTGTCATTCGTTTTGACACTTAAGTTTTGTATTACGAGTTTTTGGTTTAAATGAATTGTGTTGTGATACTTTAAGCTGAAACATTTTTACTAGCAGACCTTGCAGACGAACATTGTTCTTTTTAGAACCTCTTTTAGTGCAAAGTGTACAAGATAGCTTAACAGCCGTAAAAAAATCATCGCAACTTTATTAGAATATTTTGAACGGGAAAGCGGTAGTAATGACCTTTTATGTCCTCTAAGTGCTGTTAAGAAGGTGAATTTTGTTGATGTATCGATGAATCGATATTTTAATGTATTAGGGTGAGGCAAAAAAATTATCTGAATACCTTGCTTCAATTAAATGGGGCCAACCAACAAAAACATTCGTGTTTAACATATGAACTGGAACGTCATTTTCCCCGTCTATTTCTTCCTCCTGTATAATTTTTGTAGTATCATATTCTCGTAACGACTGGGTTGCTCAAACACACGTACTTTCGCCTTCTCTAGCTGGGCCTAAGGCAATATTTTAATAGTTAAATTAAATATTTTAATCGGAATATTAGTTAAAATTTCTGATGTTATCCATAAAATATTGTGCCACAGATAATGTATCCGTATCTGTATCATATCAGTAGAATGTCTGAATTTTTATTAAAAATTACATTAAGTTCTTTATTTTTAACGGAAATATACAGGGTGAGTTTTAATAAATAGGAAATATTTTCAGGGCTGGTAAACCTCGATAAAAGAGACATGTTTTCTCTTTACCATTTTTCAAGTAAGTCCTAATAACCGAGTTGTTTTAATTCGAAAATAAAAAAAAATGCTTAAATTTTGAGAACCTCTGGATGTTTTCTGGGTTTTATTTCTAGCAAATTTAATCTACTAACTATGTTGTCTTATTATGAAGATATGTTTTTAACTAAAATTTAAAAATTCCAAAATGTTTTTTTTGAAATTATACCAATTTCCAATTTATTTCAGTGTTACTGGGGTCGAAATATACCAACCCTAAAATATTTACACTTATCTCACTGTGTGACTCACCCTGTATTTTAAATAAATATTAATAATTATAAATTTACTTTTTTAAATCAATATTAATAATTATAATTTTACTGACTTCATAAAACAAGACCAGCAAATTACTAAGTATACTCTGCTTTATATTTTAACATGTTGAAAAAATATACCGATTTGGTCATTTTAGAAATGTGGTCTGGATTTTAACGTGTAAGACGTATTAAAAAAATCAAATGTATTAAAAAGAGATAAAACTTGGGTTGGTACATGTCTTCTATGCGGTATTGCCGGATTTTGCATCAAAAGTTCAAACAGCACAAGTAGGCGTTTATGGAAAATATTGCATCCATGGTTGGAACCTTAGAGTTTATTTTTTTTTCTACACAAATTTTCCTACAAACGTAAAAACCGGCAACACTGTATGCCGCTTTTTGGTTTTGTCTCTCTGTCGGTCAACCGGTCATTTATATTATTCTCTGTCTTACACGTTAAAATCAAGACCCCACTTCTAAAATGATAAAATAACTTCAAAAATGACCAAATCAGTATAACGCTACTGATACACCACAATTTAATTCAGTCATATTAAAAACCTTTGGTCATCTAACTAATTTTGCCTATATATTCCCTCTTTAGCCATTATATTCAATGTTTTATATAAACTACTATAAACTTACGGTATATTTCAGGTGCTTCATGGTAGGAAACCCAGGATAGTATACGTCAAAACTGGCTCCCGGATAAGCCCCTTTGACCAACTTGTCGCGGGGTACCCTGATGCTCTCTATAGTAAGAGGCATCAGTTTGGCGCGATACGTTTCACTGGAGGGAAATAGCCGGGAGCGTCGTACTGGCCCATATCCTGACTGGTAAAGTGTAAACCAGCATGGGACCGGGCTGGTTCCTCCGTAACTCTTCGGGAGTTAGTTTGTCGTTACATGATTGCATACTTTCCAAAAGCAATTTCTGAAATGGGAAAATAGTAGTGTCCATTTCATTTTGTCTCACTTTTTAAAAGGCTTTAACTATTTTTTTGAACTAGAACATTTACTTTACAAACTTTTTTATTTACTTAGAAAATGTAAGGTATGCATTAACAGACTTGGTGTATTTCAGTTGATTTCAAAAAATTCCGACCACAGCGCTGTATACGGCAAAAATCAGAAATTTTCGCTATGTACTATACGCCATCCCGGTTACAGTTCATGTTGATCGCATTAAAATAATTTTGAAATCGTGGCTTTGTCATAATATTTAAGTATTTTAGTTTTTTACTAGTGCAGTTACTGAAACTATAAAACACTCAGGTACGAGGTTTGTGTGATGTAACGCTATTTCGGGTAATACGAGTAAAAAACAAGTAAAAAAAAACGAACTAGGCGTCATGTTGTGTTGTGACAATTTCAAACGTTAACAAAATTGCTGAAAAAATGTTATCGCGTGAAGGAGAGCGCAATTAGGGCGTTGTTGGGTGCAATAACATTCAATAATTCAACTTTCCCGGATATTTTTTCCGAAACAACATTTTTATAGCTTCACAGTTTCTCACACCGATCTGATCAAAAGCCAAGAGTAAACAAAGTGCTCATTACATGATCAAAAAATTGAGAGGAGAAAATATAATTTGCAATATTAATGGAATACTTTTTTTTAATCAACTAGTGATTAAATGTTTTATGAACATCTTCTAAAATTACTATTATGAATCTTTAAAAAATTTCGTTATAGCCGAAATAACCCCAATTATGACCCCACTAGCAAAAACAGTGCGTAAAACTATGCTCGCTACTGATATTAGGTATATTTTTAGTTGAAATAATAAATTATAATACAAGTTAGACCTTTTAGAATAATTATATAATAAATGTTTCGTATACTCGCTATTTAAACCCGTGTATTCGTTACTATATTATTTGTTACTATATTAACTATACCAGTTGTTTATGATATTCTCCGATGGTGGCAGCACAGGCAGAGAATGCACCAGGCTTATACAGGATATCTCAATATTTTGTGGATATAGAACTACTAAGTATTTTTGGAATTAAACAAGTTAATTGAACACAATTTAACTTTACACAAAACTCCTTTGTTTGTTGACACTTGGAACCAGTAAAAACTCAAAAAACAGTTTTGTGTATTTTTTTTAAATTTCTTTCAAAATTGAAATTCTTATAAAAACAAATAAAATATTAAAGAAAACACTGTCAAGCCTAATTTAAAATAACTTATTTTAAATAAAGAAAATAATACAAAATAAATTCACATACCTCGTCCATAAAAGGTATCAATACAACAGCTTCCCATTCCTGCTTTTTACCATTTAAATCAGTTTCAAAGTTGTCAGGATAATATTCTTTCATTACTGATTCTTCACTGGTCATCAAAGCATGATAAGCAGATGGCAAAAGGTCTTTACTGGCCGGCGGCAAAACTGCCAACAGCTGAAAAAATGTATGATGTGTGACAATTTATTACATAATGGTATTTTTTTCTCAACACCACAAATAATACAAATACAAGTCATAGTTCTGAACCGTTGTCTATAAAATATATAAAGTGTGCAGTACTTCAGATGGGGTCATTGAAAAAAAATTGCTGGTGTATAACTTCATATAATTATGTTAGTGTTTATTATTTAGCGTATGGCGTACATAGATTTAATTACAACATCAAATGTATATATTCAAACACAATATAATATGTAAACAGATTGTCGTAAATTGTAAAAATAAAACTAAATATCTAAAAATTTATAAAAAAAAATGTTAGTGTTGATACAGGGTCTTGGGACACCCTGTATCGTCTGTTTGGAATTTTCAGATTTTCAGATCACTGTGTGTTATCGATAAGATATAAGATACAAGAATGTAAAGAAGGAAATCAAAAAATGCAACAATTTCAAATTCGCCCAGTATTTCAGGAACTAAAAGGGCTAGGACAAATCTGTGTGTAGCATGTTTAGTTTCATAAAGACGTAGAGAAGTGGTGAGTTAACCGCATCTTTGTTGCTGCTCTACACATAAACGAGAAACACTATAAAACACACAGAAAATGGGACACACTGTACGGTACAAACGAATTGCTTACTTGTTCATATGGTTTAAAAGGTTGTCCCAATTCAAAGTCGATTTTTAAATTGGAAAAGTCTTTAATATCGGAAATGTAAGGGGCATAATGGTGGGGATAATACCACGACCAAGAGCACACGCCATTGTAGTAATAATTCAAGTTCCACTGTATTGCTCTGACATATCCTTCAGCCTGATCCCGCAGTACCTCACTAAAAAAATAAAAAAAAACAGTTACAACCAATGACTAAAGAATACAAGGATATATAACGCCCATATACGGACTGCAGCAGAATTTGTTACGTTAGACGCCATCATATTGGAGCCTACGGATAAGTCACCACCTCGTCAACAGCGAGTAAGAAGAGTAAGAAAAGTAACAAGGGTTCATAGTTTCACAGTTGTCGATTTTCTAAAGAAATCAGTACATGTATATTATTTCCTATATTTTTCATTTTATTGATTATATGGAAAGCTCTGTTCATTAAAATGTTGTATCCTATGTTATAGGGCTTGTTTCTCTCTACAATTTCCTGTCTCACAATGTACCGTTTGTGTCCAGGAAGGGTTCATAGTTTCATAGTTGTCGATTTTCGAAAGAAATCAGTACATGTATATTATTTCCTATATTTTTCATTTTATTGATTATATGGAAAGCACTATTCATTAAAATGTTGTATCCTATGTTATAGGGCTTGTTTCTCTCTAGAATTTCGTGTCTCACAATGTACCGTTTGTGTCCAGGAAGGGTTCATAGTTTCATAGTTGACGATTTTCGAAAGAAATCAGTACATGTATATTATTTCCTATATTTTTCATTTTATTTATTATATGGAAAGCACTGTTCATTAATTAAAATAAATTAAAATTAGAGTAAATGTATTTTACTGACACCAATATTTTCTCAACAAAATTCATTTTTACGTTTTAAGCCAAGTATAAACGTTTTACTTGTCAGATTAGATGGATTAATTATGATTAAAGAAATTATGATTAGAAAAAATTATGATTAATTTAAAAAAAAATAAAAAGTTCCCAAATTTGTAATTTCAGTCACATGATTATCCAGATACTATATTGATATACAATTCGGATCACGTGTATTATTACTTATTTAATTTAATTGTGTACTACATTTATTAAATAAAAACTTACGGTGTGACATTCTCATAGTCTAGCTTATTTCTATAGTAGTCCTTTTTAAAATTTTCAAATGCCAGTTCGTCCTCATCTTTATCACTATCGTTTTCCGATTCTTCTGAAAACTACAAAAATATTTCATAAAAAAATAAGAGTAAGTTAAATCTAATGTTAAAGACTACCATATCATCAGTGTCCTTAATAAGAGCTGCTAATTGCGAATCGGTATTAGATTTGGATTTTTCAGACTTAAGCAACTCTCCTGGAATATCTCTATCTCCATTATTCTGCTGAGTCTAAAAAATACTTGTGATATTTTACTAATTAAAATTAGATAAAAAATTACATCTTTCTGTGAAGAAGATTTCCCTTTAGGTTTGTAAGCAAACATGTTTGATAATTCCTTGAAAACTTTTGGATCAACAATGAGTGGTTGAAGAAAATCCTAAAATTGTCAATTACACAGGGTGTGCCAAAAAGTTCACAGCAAATGAGAAATTTTAAATATTAAGTTATTCAAAAAAGTTTATAGAGAATTTCATTGTGTCCGATAACAAAAAAAAATCTAAGGCGGCAAATTGTAGTCTTTTCAACAAATCAGGAGAGATTTCGACAAATGACATTCAAAAAATGACAGAAAATACTATTAACCTGTGAATAAAAATGACAGATACGACTGTTACAGTCGTGTATCCTCTTTTTGGACAGACTATACCAATCTTATACCGGGTGCGTCTCAAAAGTGGTTTACCCCTATAACTTTATTATTTTTTCAGATAAAACACGAAGTTTGGTATACTGTTTTTTTTCTCAGGTAAGATTTCGACAGGCGATGACAGAAAAAAAGCAGATGACTTCCATACCAATCTATTTATTTCACTAAAAAAAGTATCTAATGTTTTTTAAGTTGACTATGTATGGGTTTATAAATAAATACGTCATGCGTCATCTCTTGTTGTTTTTAACCAGTTTTATTGGTTTATTTCAAAAACCAATAAAACTGGTTAAAAACATGTTTTATTTCAAAATCATATTTCAATATTATTGGTTTGACGCAACGATGAACGACAAACGGACTCCGATGCGTATGAACTCGACTTAAGATTTTTGAGAGTTGTCAAACTCTTGCCAAATTATAGGTTATAATTTTGTGTCAAAAATAAAAAAGTTATAGAGGCGAGCCACTTTTGAGGCGCACCCGGTATACATATCCAAAAAGTGAGGTTAGATGACAAAATGTTAAAAAAAGTCAAAATGGAAACTTCTTCAGAATCAGTTTCAGGATCTATGTAGGTACCAAGTTTGATAAATATACAGAACCTTTCAAAAAGTAGCAATTTTTGGAAGTCCTCTGTATTATTATGCAATTTTATACCTTAGATCTTATAAACTTCCTTTGTACATACAGTAAATCCCCGTAAGGATTGTCTTTACAAGAGGAAAAACTTTTTTATTGTAGACATTTTTTGAGAAAAATGGTATTCTTCTAGACATAGAAACAAATTCTGAACAACATTTTTCGTTTATTAACACCTAACCACTCATGTTGCATAGTAAAGAGGATTTTTGTAATTTGCCACCTTGCCACATAATGTCAAATTTATTATATTTGTTATTGGGCATGCTCAAAAAATTCTTAAATTTTCTTTTCAAAATCTCAATGAATTTTGGCAATCCCTGTACAATATGATACTTCGTTGTCAACATACTTCAGCATTCATCAATTTTTTTGATTCCAGAAACATTTTGTCATCACGAATATCTTCAAAATTTTCTATGTCAAAGTCTGATAGTTTCTGCATAAACTTTTCGAAACGTGATAAATTTAAAGTGCCAGCTTCATTAATGTACCCTGTATTATTAAAAAAAACAATATAAAATAAATAATTAACCAGATTGTATAACTGGTAAGATAAAAAGCTTCAAATACCATCTAATGTAGGTAAAACGTCCATGTATGCTTTATACAAAATGGGCAATGCTCCATCAGCTATGTGCAAATGTGGCAAATTGGGTATAAAGTCATTGCCCACTAAAAATCCCATAAGAACCTAAACAGATTATAATCAATATTTACAGGTATATACATGGTTAATTGTTTGTTACCCAATCATCGATGATTTTTTCAAAATCATATTCAAAGTTAGTCAATTTTTCTTTAACTGGTGCAAATTCAAGTTCCAAATATTCTCTCATCAGTGATAAGTGAAGTAAAAAAAAAGTAATCTCTTCTGGAACTGACAGTCTTTTTGTAGACTTTTTTCCAAATTTCACCTTAAAACAACATAACATATAATAAAATAGTTGTATGAGATTAGGCAAAACTGATTACCTCCTCTCTCAACAAACTAAAATGAGGCTCATGTGTACACAAACCTAACATAATTAAATCGGCATCTAATCCATATAAACAATGCCTTGTGTTAGGGTCGTAACCTGGCTGGGACCTCATATACCTTATATAATCCATAATTTTGTGTTCACCTTCACCAGGTGTCTAAAATTTATTATCTGTTTCAAATGTTATCTAAGGCATAACAAGAAAATCTACCTCATGTCCTGATAAAATAACAGTCACTCCTCTCCATAACGAATCATTTGATAATTTATCTACTACAAAATACTTTAACTGTTCGTGTAATCGAGCCATAAACACAGTTCCCGGAGTGATACAATTCGAGTCAAACCTTGATTCGCTTGGTAAAACTTCACCCTTTTTTAGAGCGTCTGCCTCTTGTTTTTCTGCATCTTTGGCTGACCTGAACCTACGCCCCCTCTGCTGGTTCATTTTAGCCCTTGGTGCTACACCATCAATAGCCATAAAAAACAGTTTTTGGGGCCTAATCATGCGAAATAAAACTTCCAAATAATGAAATATATCTTTAAATATTTTCTCCTCTGTGATACGAAAATGTGGATTGTTATCATCAGGATGAGAACACATATGTATTATACCGTTCATATCCAAATACATGTTATCAAATTCTGGGATCTGGTAATATACAATGTTTAAAAATAAGAAAGGAAATATTACCTATATTTACAGTACCTGATAATCCTTAACTACTTCACTTAAACAGGGGTATCTTTCGCTTATATATCTAAAAAACTTTGGAACTCCCATTATAGAAAAGGTTTTGTAATAAGTGTAATATTTATCAACTTGTAACTAAACGGTGCACCTAACTAAACTATAACACAATCTATAACACCTCAATCGCAGCAAATATCTGTTATTTCACAGAATACTTGAACAAGCATTTATTTATCTTGAAAAAAGATAAAAAACCTCTGTCTGCATATGACTTTATAAAATATAAACTTCTGTAATTACCAGGCATGGAAAAATAAAAAATATTGGCTTTTCTTTTTAAAATATTGAAATCTATAAGTTGACATTGACATTTGACGTTAACACTTCGTTCTTCGTTCTTCTTTGCTATTTTATTTGGCATTTTTTAACATATCACTAACATATTTAACAATGATGCTAGCACTCAGATTTTTGTGGTGGTTGAAGTGCGTGCCCAATTTTAAATGTTAGAAAAATAGATAATCTGGCTGAATCATTGGGCTGAATGGCTGAAATCTGTGCTGAAATGGCAAGCAGCCGTTAGCCAAAAAAAACAAGGATCATATATGAAGCATATATAATTTGTTGGTTGATCTATGGAAAACGAAGGCCTATAAAAACTAGGGCTGGGTATAGTATTTATGATTACCTGTTCCGTTTTTTACACATATCTACATCTTGATAAAAAATCTTAAAAAAAAAATTTTTTAGCCTTTCAAACATAGAATTGGGTGAAATGGTGAAACCTAGATTTGTCTATTTTTTTGCCTAAAGCCCCGTTCTCAGAACTGCGACTGTCGCCAGCGACACGACAAAAGAACCAATCAGATTTGTACAAAATTCAAACAGCTGTCAATTTTAAATATAGCACAGCTCCCATTGGTCGTTTGAAGTGTCAATCAGTGTCGCTGTCGACACGACGCAGTTCTGAGAACGGGGCTTAAAGCCCCGTTCTCAAGTCCCGTTCTCAGAACAACGTCGTGTCGCGGGCGACACGACAAAAGAACCAATCAGATTTGTACAAAATTCAAACAGCTGTCAATTTTAAATTTAGTACAGCTCCCATTGGTTGTTTGAAATGTCAATCTGTGTCGCCCGCGACACGACGCAGTTCTGAAGCCCCGTTCTCAGAACTGCGTCGTGTCGACAGCAGAGCTGTACTAAATTTAAAATTGACAGCTGTTTGAATTTTGTACAAATCTGATTGGTTCTCTTGACGTGTCGCTGGCGACACTCGCTGTTCTGAGAACGGGGCTTAATTTCGATTTCTACACAAAATAAAAATATATAAATTACCAGTAAAATGATGAGAAAGAAATCAAAGGTGAAATATCAATTAACTTAGGAGTTAAGAGCACTTATTATTGTAAAAAACTGGGTTTTGACGTTAAGGTTTTACACGCCTGGCTATATAGAAAATGAAAGAAAAGTATACAGGTTGAATGCTATTCTAATATAGCACAAAAAAAATAAAGGGTAAAGGTGTGGATCCGGTGGCTGACCTTGAAGCCCATATTTGCTGCTTTTGATCATCGATACTACGCAAGCGCACATCGTCGTTGTTGCCAAATTGCAGTTTATTTTCGAATTATTTGCAGTTGAAATTTTTTTTTTGCGTGTTAATCAATAATAATATGAATTCTATAATTAATTTTATAATTTCAGATTTATCTTGATATCCAAAATTAAGGTAAGAAGGATAATGAAGATTGTGAAATGAAAGTATTATGAATATATAAAATTGTAATAATAATAACATTTATTTATATATTTACATTAGAATTAAAATTTATCATTTACGGATTTTTGCTTAATGGTTTTAAACTTATTAGAATTATTTTATTTCTTTCAAGTTATTTAATTTCTAGTTATTTACAGGCAACAATAGTTTTGATTATATGTATTGATGTTTTGAAGTACTACCATGACGGGTCTTATTATAGAACAATAAACGTCAATCGGAGATAAAGGTAACATTTTACCTATTATATAATGTTACTAATATAATATACTTTGATTATAATTAATGTTTTTATCATAATTTCTTAAAAATATCAAGTTAGTGGATTTTATCGAAGAGTGTGTTGATAAGCAGTGGCGGATACAGGGGGAGGGCCCATGGAGCCCGGGCCCCCCTAAAGTCTGTGAATTGTGTAAAATATTAGGCTTTTGTGTTAAAAATGGCGCCCTAAAAACCATATTCTACATTGCTTTTCATTTTGGGCCCCCCTAAAATAAATTCCTGTATCCGCCCGTGTATTGATAAGACTAAAATAAGCTTTATGTTTTATCTTTTTCTCTTTAGAAGGGAGATGGTTTGTACCGTAGAATACATTACAGTATTTAATATCGTGTACTTTGATATTCTTTTCTTAATTTACTTAATTTCTTGTTTCCTATAATGCCAAATCTTGACAATATGGTGAAGGTTGAGTTTTGATCTTATTAGTTTTATAAGAATAATAATAATAATAGAAATTCAAGACTAAATTAAGACTTAGTTTGTGATTTATATTAAGATCTTTCTTATAATATTTGTTATGTCTTAATCTTAATACTATATATTATGCTTGGTCTGGAAAATAAAAGTTAAAATATCTTAATTTTGCATATCCTATTCCATCCTTCCATTAGGAAAAATATGGTTTATAAATCATATATGCTAAGAAAATCACATAAATTAGGTGTAAGAATAGAGAAATCTTAATGTAGCAGAAAAATTAATGCAATATATGTATAAGCAGAATTAAACAAGGTAACTGATGATGTTAATGTTGCTGAAGCTGAGGCTAAAAGGCCTTTTAAGGCCTCCGTAGTTTTGATGAAATGTTAAAAAAAAACTATTATGAACATGACATGGAGCTACAGCTTAAAAAAAAGAAAAAACTTGGACACATCCCTTTTAATTTCCCGAATTTTTAATAAAGCACTTTTTAAACGTAGCATAATAATCTAGATAGGAATCTAGAGTTTTATTTCTATATAATTTTATTGACTATAAAAATACATAATAAGCGTTCACGTGTTGTGCGAAATATTAAAATAATATACCGCGTACTATGATTGAAAAAAAAATAGCGTCAGCAATGACTATGAAATGAAGATCGCTGTCATTTTATGAAAATGTCCTCAATCGTCATTTCCCAGCCAACTGGACGCCGTTTTTTCGATCATACGGTATATATTGACAAAAAAAACACTGAAAAGCACATATTTGTTTTCTACTGAAAATAATTCCAAAATAACTCGCAATTTGGCAACATCGAAGATGTGCGCATGCGTAGTGTCTGTGACTATATGCAGCAAAAACTCGTTTCAAGGTCAGCCACCGGATCCACACCATTACCAAATAAAGTACTTCAAAAATGCAGCTAGATTTATTTGGAATAAATATATTATATACATTTTTAGCCCCCCCTCATTCCCCATATAAATACACATTTTTCTTGCATAGTAGTCAATTAGGATATCGTTGACATGCCCACCAAAAAGCCTACTAGAAACAGTAAACTAATATTCCTTTGAAATGATAAGCAAAATGCAAAAAAATCATCTATCCAAGGTATTCTGTAATTACAAGGAAAAATAGAAAGTTTTTGACATACTATAGAGAAAAAATACATTGTAAAATCTCAAAAACTTACAATATTATAGGAAAGTCTAATTAAAACTGCGAATTTCATGGAACTTTTAAGTACAACTATACTTGAAATCTATTGACCAAACAACACTTCAGTTTTGATCTGTAAGAAGACTATCTTAATTTAATTATAAAAAAAGTTACATACATTCTTTAAACCTTAGGCCTCACATATATAAAGGAGAATATGGAAGTTAGTAGACATAAAATAAAATAAATAAATGTGAAAAACTACAAATATAAAATAATTTCGCTAATAATAATATATAAATTAAGTTTAAATTGCTAAAACACAATAAAAATAAAACGAAATCCTTCCAGATCCTCTAAAAATCATCTAAAACATGTACAATGGTCAGTAGATTCCAGGGAGAAAATTGGTATGTATCAAGAAAAAATAATATATTTGATATCCAGTCTCTTTCAGTCTGTAATTGAGATCTGAGCAAATCCAATTAACGCCTTATCATCCGGGGTCTCATTACTGCCAATACTTGAATTCTGTAAAAAAATAAAATATTTTTATACATATTTCATCATACCAGTAAAAAAGTTTGGAACAAATAGTATTAGATGATAGGTTTGTTGTGACTTTCTAAGATTATTTTATGCTTTGAATCTAATTTTATCTAATCGTTTAATCTAATTTTATTCAAAACGTGTAAAAATATGGTGTAGGGTAGACTCGATCATTTGTTGCTTTATTTTACGTTGTCAATAAATGTTGGTAGTTATTAAAAATGTTAATAAAAATAGTTAACTTATAGGGCTCTAATTTCCGCTTTACCCAACCCCTGAGAGCAACTCGAACAGTACAGCGTAATAGACTCTTAAAAACTTAGGTAAAATGATAAAAATGAAAAGTAAAAATGTCTGTGAATGACATAGGCCAAAGCCAAGAACGGTAAACTAATATAGACAGTTGTGACGTCATTGTAGTCCTTGTCAAGATAGTGTGTATTCTAGTTGTCTATAGTAAACTTATCAGAATAACAGCTGAGAAATTTTGAGATAATTACTTTGTCAATTTTAAATGTGAAAAAGGTGTTTTTAAAGTTTTTAGAGCTATAGAGTGTATAAATACGTTCATTTTGTGTTGTGGATTGTGACAAAGTGCTTACTAAGTGCCTACCATATTGTTTATTAATTATTTTAAAGCAAAATATGGAAATACATACTCTAAAAAGAATGCCTGCAAAAGGTGATGCTGGGAACTGCTGTTCTTAAAAATGCATTATCCGAGTATTTAATACAATTTATACAGTTAATTTTCTATACTGCATACATATAAGGTGTTTAAATAAATAAACTAAATAATGAACATATAATGAACGTTTTGCATTCGGCAACCAAAAATGCACGTGCGTGTATTATTGGTTGCCGGATAAGGACTAAAATAACCATGACCAGGACTACAATGACGTCACAAAGCGAGTAGTTTTCGCATGCACCTGGCGGACACTTTTGGCTGAATGAGCAGACCTATTAGGTTAACTTTTCTTGGGCCAAAGCAAATCAATCAAACAAAAATACCAATTGCAATATTTTTAATTACCGTCTCTCAATCAAATGTGTAAACAACTGAAACTTACTTAGAAATGGTCTATAGAAAAAACGTATCTTACAAAATGACATTTTTATTTTTTACGAGACAAAAAATATATTGTATTAAATAATGTTTTGTCGACTTGTTGCATTTTTTGACATATACTGTATAAATTATTAAACAAAACTTACCAATTGGAACGTCACCACTTTAACAGCGTGCCTTTGATCGATAAGTTTTTGCAAATTCTGTGATATAGGTGTTATATCTTTGCCATCAACCAGACCAGCGCCCACCAATTCGCTTGCAATTCCTTCTGCGGAATCTTTTCCAACGGCAAACTCGAATCGAATATCGTTTAGTTCCCGTTTCGCGTTCCTAGAAAATGAAATATAAAAATAAACGTAAAATTCTCAATAATAATAACAGTAATAAAACAATTTACGGATTTGGCAGGACAAGGGAGGACTAACCTAAATGGAATGGATCGTTCCAGTTCTCTAAAATGGGTAAGGAATGGATTAGGAAGGAATATTAAGTAGTTAATTAGTTATTAGTACCAGAGGATCGAAAAAACGGCGCCGGAATTGGTTTGGAAATAAAGATCGCTGTCTTTTATTTCTTTCCAAAACATCTGGATGCCGCTTTTTTTTTTCATTGTGAAATATTAAAAGGATTTCAGCTTTTTTCTACACTGTCGCAGATAAGTACAAAACAAACGCCTATTATTTAAAGCCCGAAACCAAGTCTTGTCTTATATTTTCAAAAAAATAGCACATTGTTTTATGGGGAGTAAAAATGATACTTTTTTATGGCGAGGCTGTATGTCTGACATTTAAGGGGAGGCACAAAAAGTACATTTTTACTACAAATAGAACATGCTATTTTTTTCAAACATCGCAAATAATATAAAAAGTAATACCTCGCAAGAAATTATATTATACCGAGCAACAATCGGTACACTCGTTGAATTTGATACATTTGACATAAAGTCAGTAATATATTTTTGCACTTTTGTGCTTAGGCATAATTTATTTAAAAATTAATTTTCTGTACAATTTTTTTTCGTATCGCGAGCTGACAGACCCGCGTAGTTTATATAGTTGTTAAGATTTCGAAAAATTTCCAATTTTCTAATGATATCAACAAGACTTACCTCATCCTTAATACCAGATTTACTGGCGGAGGTTCACTCTCACTACTCTCATGGTCCGACCCAGAAGACCCGGCCGATACCAGCGTGTTCATGGGTTTAACGTCAGAATCGCTGTCGCTCGAATCGTCTCCGTCCTCGTCCTCGCTGGACCACACCCACCCCGTCTCTTTCCTGTGCAGCCTGCCCGAAGCGCCAGGTTGTCTTCTCGAAGCCTGCAATACAATACAAAGGCATAATGTAATAGAGAGAGTTGCGCAGATCCCAAACCTTTTGTACTCTTGTCTCTAAGCTGGGGCCGATGGCAATCAGCGTTTGTTGCAGGTATTTCTTGTCCTTGGCCTTCTTGAAAAAGGGGTGCTTCAAGAGTTCGGCGGCCGTTGGCCTCTTGGCCGCCTCTTTTTGTAAACAGTCCGTTATCATTTTTCTGAAAGTTTTGCCGTACGCCTATAAGGTAGAATAACATAAATTTAGGACCTTAATTTATTTATTTTATTTTAAATATATGAAAAAATATATGTATTAAATTATATTACCTTGTATTGATCTTTTTCTTCAGCTCCTGTATCTAGATTAGGAGGGTCG